AGCCCTACTGGTAAAGCCAAGCGATGCATCCGCGAGGTTATCTCGGAGTGCTACCCTAGGCAAACAGGACGCGCAAACACAGAGCGCTCGCATTGAAATCGCCATGGGTCGTGTTTCTTGGAGCGCCGACAGGCGCGCTACTGCAGGGTGATAAATGGGGGAAAAACTGGCCATCACGAGCGCCGCCAGAGTGCATCCTCGATGGCCCCACCTACAGCATACCGCGATTACCAGCATGCCCTACTCCACACAAGCTTCGAGGAGGGAACAGTGGGATACTTCAACCGGGTATCAGAGTAGAGATACGACAATGCATGGGACAACTATCGGCCAATTCGACGTGGAAGAGAAGTGGGCCGAGCGAAAGAGGAGAGAACCGGATATGATAACATTAATCAGGTAATCAGACCCCCTAGTAAAAGTTTGGGACGCACGGGCCTCCCGACCCTGCCCCCTCCTCCTTTTGAGTTGTCGTGTCGCCGTCCCCCCCCTAGCTTGGGCGCGCTGCTAAGCCCGCGCGCCCCCGCCCTTTGGGCACGCGGAAGGGCCAGCAGCTGCTCCCCCCGCACTGACCCGCAGGGACTCGTAATCGTAGTCGTAAGGTAGCCAGCCTCTCTTACGGGACGCGGCCACCTCGGAGCTCGCCCCTTGAGCAACGAGGCGTGCTCTTGTCGGCCCTAGCGAGAAACCAGGGTCGCTGCGCAACCAATCGCAGAGGATGTTGCCAGAAGCGCTCAAGGCACCAGCTTTGGTGTTTTGACGTTGAACCCCTTTATGCGGATGTCCTGTCCTGTCCTGTCCTCCCCCTCCCCCTTCCCTCCCCCTCCTCCTCCTCCTCCTTCTCCTCCTCCTCCTCCTCCTCCTCCTCCTCCTCCTCCTCTTCCTTCTCCACCTCGTCTGCTTCTACAACGTGGATTATGATGCTGCCAACGATGCTGATGTGTACGAAGCTTATGCGGGGGATTACGATGACGATGAAGATGTCCATGCTGCTTTTGGGACATTTCAATTACCAGAATCAGCCGAATCAGCACCACCTCTGTGTTATCACCATCGTAGCCGTTACTGTCACCAACGCCGCATCACAAGCACCAGCGCATGCTCCGCCCTTCTTATCATACTCGTCGTCATGCCCATTGGCGGCGTAATCATCATCCACATGTTTACCACCACAGCCACCACATAGATACGATATTCACATATATGTATACGGACCAACGGCGCAGAATGAAAACATGGTTGCCACCATAATCGTTATCACCGTTATGTACAGCGCCTTTGCCGTCATCATTATCATTACCATCATCAAGTTCACCATCATCAGCGTCGCGCCTGCATGGTCAGCGCCATTGGCCAGACCACCTACGACAGTTTTATCATCATTATCCTGCTTGCATGTTTGCGTCGCGTTCGTTCTGAAACAGGACGGCGCAGGGTTTAGGGTTTAAGGTTGGTTCGCGTGGATTCTCGCGGCTTCAGGAGTGCGTCTCTCTTGGAGGCCTCCTGGGGCCCCTCTCAGAGGCAGAGGCGTCCCAGGGAGCCTCTGCAGGGCGTCCCGGAGACCTCTGCGATGGACCCCAGGACAGCTATGATAAGCCACCCAGGAGGCTTATGAGAGGCGCCGCAGGCGGCCTCCGAGAGGCCACCCAGGACCTCCCAGGAGGCCTCCCAGGTCCTCCTCCTCCTCGAACTCCTCCTCCTCCTCCTCCTCCTCCTCCTCCTCCTCCTCCTCCTCCTCCCAGGAGGACCTCCCAGGAGGCGTCCCAGGAAGCCTCTTGGAGGCCCCCCAGGAGGCTTCTGATCCCCCCTCCTGAGTCTTCTGGTTCCCCCCCCCTTCCCAAGCGGCCTCTGATCCACCCCTTCCCCGTGGATTAACTCCGCACTCCAGGGCGGCGCTCTGATCCACCCCTCCCCCGTGGATTAACTCCGGAGTTAATTCACGGGGCCCAGGGCGGCGCCCTGATCGACCCCTCCCCCGTGGGTTAACTCCGGATGTAATTCACGGGGCTCAGGGCGGCGCCTTGATCCAGTCCTCCCCCGTGGATTAACTCCGGATGTAATTCAGGGGGCTCAGGGCGGCGCCCTGATCGACTCCTTCCCCGTGGATTAAGTCTTGAGTTCATTCATGGGGCCCAGGGCGGCGTCCTGATCCACCCCTTCCCCGTGGATTAACTCCAGAGTTAATCACGGGGACCAGGGCGGCGCCCTGATCCATCCCTCCCTTGTGGAGGAACTCCGGAGTTTATTGGTTTTGTCCAGAGTGGATCCATGCTACCAGCTTTCCCGTGGATTCACTCTGGAGCTACTTCTTCCCAAGGTGGATCGCCGTGTTGGCTTTCCCGCGGATGAATTTTAGAGTTAATTCTTTTATTTCCACCCAGATTCAGCCGCTTCCGAGTCCGAAATCCTCCTCCTCCTCCTTCCTCCTCTTCCTCCTCCTCCTCTTCCTCATCCTCATCCTCATCCTCCCCCTCCCCCAATTCCTCCTCATCCTGCTGATGTTGCTGCTCCTCATCCTCCTCCTTCTCCTCCCTCCCTAATATTGCCCCTCCTCCTCCCTCCTCCTCCTCCCTCCTCCTCCTCCTCCTCCTCCTCGAACTCATCCTCTTCCTCCCCCTCCTCCCCCATCGTCCTCTTCCTCTTCCTCCTCCTCCTCCAACTCCTCCTCGCCTCCTCCTCGCCTCCTCCTCCTCCTCCTCCTGATCCGCTCCTCCTCCTCCTCCTCCTCCTCCTCCTCCTCCTCTCCTCCTCCTCTCCCTCCTCCTGCTTCTCCTCGTCCTTCTCCTCGCCTCCTCCTCCCATCCTCCTCCTCCTCCTCCCTCCCTCCTCCTCCCCCAATTCCTCCTCCCCCAATTCCCCCTCCTCATCCTCCCCCAAGACCTCCTCCACCTGCTGATGCTGCTGCTCCTCATCCTCCTCCCTCCCTAATCTTGCTCCTCCTCCCTCCTCCTCCTCCCTTCTCCTCCTCCTCCTGATCCGCTTCCTCCTCCTCCTCCTCCTTCTCCTCCTCCCACTCCTCCTCCTCCTCCTCCTCCTCATCCACCTCCTTCTCCTCCTTCTCCTCCTTGGCATGGTTCGTCTTGTTGCCTGTGGGGGCTACTGGCCAGGGCAACGATTAGCGGACGCCAAGCTGGTCGTGAATGCCATTTGCCAGCGGTGCCATCGTCTCGCCGATTGCTCCATTCACAGGTTTTGGGGATGTATGTGCAACGATGTAGCTGACAGCCCATTAGTTCAGGAGACCAACCACCTCAGGCACCAAGCCCGTGAGGAGGCTCCCGCTGCACACATTTTCTGGTGCAGGGGACTTATCCCCTCGAGATGGCTCGGCATCCCTGACCCCCCCCCGAGCTCCGGGAGGTTACTTTGGCGAGGGCCGTTGCTAACCGTAGCTTGCCTGGTGGCACATATGGCACCGATGGCTCTGGCGGCCCGCTGGCGGCCAACCCGTTGCTCTGGCGTTGCTCGTTTTCCTTTGCCCGACTGTGCCGTCCCTGTCCAGAGCCCGATTGGGACATGGGAGGGCATGGCGATTTGGAGGGAAGGCGGCAGACCGTGCCTAGAGCGGAGTTGGTTGCTATTATCGAGGTTGTTCGCCGCGTAGACCCTGACCACGACCTTCTCGTAGTCACAGAACATGAGAACCATGTCAAAGCGTTCCGTAAAGGGTTCCATCACACCCTGAGCCTTCAGAGCGCCGACCTTTGGTTTGAGTTTTGGCAGGCGCTTCATGGGAGGAGCTCTCGTTGCACTTTGGATTACGTTCCGAGTCATCTGGCGGAAGATGAAGCCAAACTCAACAAACACCTTCCTTCTGCTAATCCAGATTTTCTTTTTATTAATTGCATTGCTGACGCCCTTGCCTCCCATAGGGCGGAGCTTTGTCAATTACCACCGCGTGCAGTCATGGATGCGACCGACCTAGTCGATCAGGCGGTGGCCGTCTTGAAGCGTAATGCCACCATCTGCTTGGAGGTGTGCGCTCGGCCCCGGAACCCTGCCAGGAAGCCCGTGCGCACACGTGTTTCGCAGCTCTTGAGGCGGAGGGCGGCCACAGTGGCAGTGATAGAAAGTGCTGCGCATGCATTGGTGCCCACCATTTTTGGCTGGAGGTGCCAGGGCTGTGGTATTTGTGTCAAAAGGAAGTCCAAAGGATTCTTTCGCATAGTCCGCCCTTCCTGTGCGGCCACTGCGACAAATGCGGTTGAGGAGGACCCTGGGGACCTCCGCCGCGCCGCGGGCGCAAGGCCGACGGCAAGCGTTCCCAGTTGATCGATCAAGTTGTCGACGAATGTTTGTGGGAGCGCCTCGGCATGGCAGAACCTCCTGCCCGAGCGCCGCGCCCCTTTTTCTTGGCGGGCCGGCAGGTGCACGATACCCATGACTGTTGGGTAAAAGGTTTCTTCAGCTTCTGTGGCCAATGCGGCTGCTGGTCGCAGAGGGTTCCAAGGCTTCTTTTGGAGCCGTGCGACGCCTTGGCCAAAGGCGTAGCTAATCTCACAAATACCAGCATGAGGGGTTGCAGAGGATCAAACGAGACCTCCCCCCGAAGAAGCTGTGCAAGGATTGGGGTCCTCACCCAGACGGCGAGATTGAACTATAGTCTCCTTGATTTGTCAAGCCTATCTGTCAAACCCTTTCGGATGTTTGGCTTGTAGACGCGCACTGCACTCCTCCTTCTCCTCCTCCTCCGCCTACACTTCCTCCTTCTCCTCCTCCTTCTCCTCCTCCTCTTTCTCTTCCTCTGCCTCCTCTTCTCTCCCTCCTTCCCCCCCTCCTCCCTCCTCATCGGGGATATTTCTCCTCCTCTTCCTCCTCTTCCTCCTGCATATCCCTCCTCCTCCCTCTCCCTCCTACCCCACCTCCACCTTCTCATTCTCCTCTTCCTCTTGGTTCCTGCTTCCTGATTGCAAGAGGTCCCTGCGGGTGCTGCCCTCTCCTCCTCCCCCTCCTCCTCCTCCTCCTCCTCCTCCTCGTACCCCGCCCCCTGCCCCGCGGAGGTGCAGATGTGGAGCTGCGTCGTCGACAGTGCGCTGGGGAGCGGGCTTGCGGTCTCCTCAATCTCTGGCGATACTTTTTGACCAGCCCAGCGTTTGTTCTTCGATGCCGGCCCTCGGGGGCCGCTGCTGGGCCCTGGGAGAAACAGAACAGTGGAGGCCCATGCCAAGAAACACCCTGCTTGCCTCGAGGATGCCCTGTTTTTGTGGGCGTTCCATGGTTTCGTTACGGACAGCGCGACGTTCCCACACCAAAATTCATTGTACGTCCTGGGTTCTCGGGGTTGGGTTTCTTGCGGAAGGTCTCTTGTGGTCGGCCAATGTAATGCACGAGTGACGAAAAGTTGCGCCAGCAGAGCGCCGCAACAGCAGCAACGGCGACGAGGCGTGGCGAGGAGTGGGAGGGGACGGACGCGAGAGCACGGCCATGCCGAGACCAGTGGCTTTCTTGGCATCGCTCGGACGTGTGCGTTTTTTACTTGGCGAGGACCATCGAGGAGCATTCTTGATCTCTTGGCGAACAAAAACACGCACGAAACCGAACAACACAACACAGGGACTGGACGTCCGAGCGATGGCCAGCTTTGTTACCAGGGATCGTGGCTGCCAGGGGCCAGAACTTATGCCGGCAGTGAGGCGAGGCATCGGTCGTTGGGTAAGTCGTGAGGCAGTGAGGCGAAGCCGTTGCGGGAGCGGTCGGTCTAGCCGAGCGGCCTCGGGCGCCCCGTCCTGTGGTTCTTCTGCACCGCCACGCCAACCCTGTTGCGAAGCGCTACAACCAAGACGTTGAGATAAGGACCGCTTTGGGCTCTGGAGCGGCTTGGCTTTTCGGGCCGCTCGGGCTCCCCGTGCTGTGGTCCTTTTGCACCATCACGCCAACCCTGTAGCGAAGCGCTACGATCAAGACGTTGAGATATGGACAGGTTTGGGCTCAGGAGCGGCTTGGCTTTTCGGGCCGCTCCTTTGATTTTTTAACGGAAGCTGGCTGTGGCCCAGGCCCGCCGTGGCCAGAAAAGCCTTTTCGTTCCTTGTGATGCGTTCCTTCTCATAGCACGATGGCTGCATTCGGGAGCGACCCCTGGGGAAGCGATTGGAACCTCCGGGGCCGCGCGTGGAAAGAACATGTCAGCGGATGCCGGGGCTTCCACCTGGCCCACGTGGTGAATGAGGGCGAGGTGCACAGTGAGTGTGTGTGCGTGTGCAGCATCACTGATGCATGTCAGGTTTCTCTGGTCCTCTCCCTCCTCATTCTCCTTCTCCTCCTCCTCCTCCTCCTCCTTCAACTCCTCCTTGTGATATGCCATGGGGGAGACAGGTCCTGAGGGAAACGTGCCCCGAGGTTTTTCGCCGTTGTCGGGTTCTCGGGGCCCTGCAGGGGCCCGGTACTGTCTGGAAATGATTCAGGATGGAGAGCTGATCTTTGGGGCAGGCCCCGGGGTCCAGGACTCGCTTCCCCCTGCCCTCCCCATCACCTTCTCTTGGCATCGCTCGGACGTGTGCTTTTTTTTCGGCGAGAATCATCGAGGACCAGCCTGGACCATCGAGCCAAAAAAAACACGCACGAAACCGAAACATGCACGGGAAACGGACGTCCGAGCGACGGCAAGTTGTTGCCCAGCAGACGAGGAGGGTCAGGTGGCGGATGAGGGAGGAGGAGGAGGAGGAGGAGGAGGAGGAGGAGGAGGAGGAGGAGGAGGAGGAGGAGGAGGAGGAGGAGGAGGAGGAGGAGTCTCGAGGAGGAGGAGGAGCCTCGAGGTAGAAAAAGAGAGGGAAGGCCTCCCGTCGGCCCCCGCCGTGCTCGTCGCTCCCCGCGCCCCCCCCCCCTCCGCTGCTGCTGCCCGGCCTCGCGGCCGCCGAGGAGGAGGGGAAGGAAAGGGGGGGCGAGGAGGGGAGGCAGAAGAGAGGGAGGACAGAGCGGTAAGGGAGTTGACGGGCAGGGTTGAAGCGCCTGCTGGGCCGTCTTGAGCGCTTCTTTGGCCATCTTGGAGCCCTCTTGGGCCGTCTCTGGGCCCTCTTGGAGGCCGCTTCGTCTGTCTTGGGGCGGTCTTGGGAGCTTCTTGAGCCGTCTTGGAGCGTCGGAAAGCCAAACATGTGAATCCTTCAAGCTTTTTTGTAAAATATAAGATTTGGGCCTCTTGGGGCTCTCTCGGGAGGCCTCTTGGGGCGCTCTTGGGGCGTCTGGGGCCCTCTTGGGCCATCTTGGAACCGTCTTCGGGCGCCTTGGAGCACTCTTGGCCTCGGCAATGCGAATACGGCGTTAATTACGAAGGTTTATACGGCTTCGGCGACGCGAGTACCGGGTAATTTGCGAAGGCTTGTTGGCTCGGCGACGCAACAATTGTATCAGTTACGAGGGTTGGTGGCCTCGGGGATGCAAGCATCGCGTAATTTACAAGGGTTTATGGCCTCCGGGGCGCGAGTCTCATGTATTTTTACATGCCCCACGCCCTCGCGGGAACTCAGAGCACGCGATCCGGACGTGGTAAATTTGGCGGTTTTGGGCTCCCCCCCTCGCGCGGATTTCAATCATTTCCCGCAGGAGGCAAAAAGCAAAATAACAGTGGAGACTTGAAACTGCAACTGGTGCAGGGAGCAGCACACTTGGCCTACAGCCTGGTGGCCTCACAAGGGGGCCGGCGGATTATGATTATGTAGTTTTCTTTCTCGCCCTCGTTCTCCATTTCCTACTCTTCCACCTCCTCATCCTCCGCCCCATTCTGCTGATGCCGCTGCTCCTCATCGCGATCTTGGTCCTGCGCCCATCCTTGCATGTATCCTTGCTTCTTCTCACGCTTCTTCTGCACCCCTCGCCTTGCACGCATAAGCGCTGGTTCAGAGCCCCGAATCATTAGGGGTAACCCGGGTCAGGGCTAACTCGGGTTCGTTTTTCGGAATTCCGAACCCGACTTACCCCGGACCCGACTTACCCCGGATAATTCGGGCGTCAAGAGCCCCAAATCATCAGGGGTATCTCGGGTCAGGGCTAACCCGGGTTGGTTTTTCGGGAATCCAAACCCGAATCACCCTGGACCCGAGTTACCCCAGATAGTTCGGGCGCCCATTTGGTGCAGGTACGAGCCAGGTGTGGATGTACGACGAGACGGTGGGCCAGATCAAGAACCAGGCGGGGCTGTGCCTTGGAGGCAGCCACTGGTCGCAGGACGGTCCGCGGGGAGGTTGCCAGGGCCACATCCGAGGGCAGGCGGGAGGAGAGGGACGGAGGTTTGGCACGGCTGGCCGCGGAGCCTGCGGGTGGAGGGCGACGAGCTCTCGCTCGGCGCCGCAGGCGTCAGGTTGTTGCCCCGCCGGAAGGGATGTCCGTGCTCGTGTTGTCGGGGGGGCCCCCAAACGGTGTGGTGACCACACCGTGCGGTGAGTCGGTGGGGATTCGGGGTCACCGCACGGTTTTGGGGCTCGGGTCGTTCTCCGAGGACGTCTCGGCCGACAGGGGCCTCCAGGGTCCCAAGACCGTGCGGTGACGGACCGTGCGGTGAGGTCTCTTGAGGTTCCGAGGTCACCGCACGGTCTGCCACCGCACCGTTTCGGGACTCCAAGTATTGGGGCATCATGCGAGGGGAAGTGGGTGATCGGCAGACCACGTTGGCAGTTTGAATCGTGTGGCCGTTTGCGTGCCCCCACCAGCCGAACCGGAAGCGATGCCCGGGCAAGTGGTTTTAAGCAGGGCGGTGCAGAAACGTGAAGGAGGCAGTGCAACAAGTTTTGGATCAGCCTGGCCAAACCCAGCACTGGAGGGAGGACTGGAAGCAGGCCGACGAGGAGGACGATGAGGATTGCGAGGAGGTGGAGAACGCGGAGGGCGAGGGAGCGAAGGAGGATGAGGAGGAGGACCAGGAGTGGGACAGGGAGGACGAGCAGGCTGGCGAGGAGAACGAGAAAGAAGACGATGATGATGATGATGATGATGATGATGATGATGATGAGGATGAGGATGAGGATGAGGATGAGGATGAGGATGAGGATGAGGATGATGAGGATGATGATGATGAGGATGAGGATGAGGATGAGGATGAGGATGAGGATGAGGATGAGGATGAGGATGAGGATGAGTTTGATGAGGATCAGGATCAGGATCAGGATCAGGATCAGGATCAGGATCAGGATCAGGATGAGGATGAGGAGGAGGAGGAGGAGGAGGAGGAGAAAAGGAGGAGGAGGAGGAGGAGCAGGAGGAGGAGGAGAAGGAGGAGGAGGAGGAGGAGGAGGAGGAGGGGGAGGAGGAGGAGGAGGAGGAGGAGGAGGAGGAGGAGGAGGAGGAGGAGAAGGAGGAGGAGGCGGAGGGCGACGAAGACTCTAGCCAGCATCTTGGGGTCTGCTGCAGGCCCTCCTCGGGATCTCTTGGGGCCCTCTCGCTTCCATCTTGGGCTGGCTATTTTGGAGGGTCGTGAGATCTTCTTGGGGCTCGTTGTCGGGGGCGGCAAAGAGGGGGTGGATATCATGGCGGGGGCCATGATATTTCCCCAGATTTCATGGCGCCTCTTCTTATTTCATTACGTCCCTGGCCCCCCCGCTGGGCCGGAACATGCCGCCGGTCATGATTTGCACTCCCCCCTCTCTTGGACCCCCCCCTTTTGGCCGCTCCCGATCTTGGAGGGGGCCTGGGGCCCTCTTGTGGAGGCCTCGATGTTCTCTTGGAGCCATCTCGCACGGTGTCGATTTGGGGGCCTCTTGGGGCGCACTTGGGGCCGTCTTGCAGGCCACTCGGGTTCCTATCTGGGCTCTCTTAGATCCTGTTGGGGCCACCCTGAGGCCTTCAAGCCCATCGGAAGCGAAACGGCGATAAGTCAGCAGTCGGTGATGCTCCATACGTTTCCCTTGGAAGTTGGCCTCTTGGGGGGGACCTCGGGGTGCCCCGAGAGCACTCAGAACTATCGTGTAGCTTTCGGGCCTTTTGGAGGCACGATGGAGACTTGCTTGAACCATCTTGATCGCTTGATCTGTCTTAGGCCATCTTGGAGCATCGCAGCCTTCTTGGAGCCATCTTGGGTGACGACACAACCTCTGAGCTCCCCCCCCCTGCTAAGGCCTCTGGGAGGGGGCCGGGGGAGGGGTAAACCTCTCCCCGAAGGGAACGCGGGTGCTGGAAGAGGGCATCGGAATATCGTTAGATCACCTACGCCCAGAGGGTCGGTTGGGTTATGCTGGTTGGGCGCGTTGCTGCCTTCTCAGCGCGTGCGCCTCATTCATGATGCGCATTGCGCTGTGGAGCCTGGTCTGGTTAGACTTTGCGCGTATACGTATATGTCTCCTGGGATGCGGGGGCGAGTGATTGCGCGTGTGTGGGATCGGTGTATGACTGCGCTGGCGCTTGCATTTGCGACTGTGCATGAACTCTGTATGTGTGCTTGCTCGTGCTGGCGACTGGTGATTCGGCTGTTGTTTGCTGGCGGCGCGGTGCGTGGGCGTGCGTGTGTTACCATGTGACCGTGACCCATTTGCTCAAGAGTTGAAGGGTACCCCGCCAAGGGATAATTGATGGGCCAATTTTCCACCACCACTGCCACTGTAGGAGAGGGAGGAGGAGGAGGAGGAGGAGGAGGAGGTGGAGGTGTAGGGGGAGGAGGAGGAGGAGGAGGAGAAAGAGGAGGAGGAGGGGAGAAGGAGGAGGATGAGGAGGAGGACCTCCCCGTCCTCCCTTCTCCCCCGTCCCACCCGTGGTCGTGGTGGTGGAGAGCTGGCCCGTCGATACCCGCCTCCCTCGCTCTCTCTTCCTCGGCCTCCCTCGCCCTGCCGGGGCAATGAAGCCCGCCTGCGCGGCCGCCGTGCTCCTCCTCGCCGCCGTGGCGCCCCGCCCGGCAGCGGCCGCGCGCCTCTCGCGGGCCGCCTCCCGCGCCTCCGGCGCCACGAAGTCGCCCAAGGTCTGTGCGGGCAATGTTTATATCCACATCCAGGGCGTTTGGGACTTTTGTGGAAGGGGCGCCGCAAGGCCGAGGCGCACCGGGTATGGATGAAGTTCGAGCCTCTAGTGGGGGCCTGAGCTTTGTGCATACCCAGTGCTCCTCGGCTTTCTGGGGAGGGGAGTCCGAAACCCCAAGCTGCAGTGGACATGGACACAAGTTTTGCCCGCAGTCTGGGCGCTGCGCCACGGTTGGGAGCCCCCAAGCCAGGCGGTGAGACACAGCCAAGTCGTTGAAATAAGGAACAGTTTGAGTAAGACAGTGGCTCGATTTACCTTGGGTCCTTCTATGGCTTTTCCTTCAGCCTTCCTCGTGCACGCAGGCGCTTGTGGGGCCAAAAAGGGGCTTCGTTCCTTGCTGATCCTTCCTTCTTTCAGCAGCCCGACTGCATCAGGCGGCGATCTGGAACCCCCCAAGAGGTCACTGCCGGGTTGTGCGGCACGGGATCACCGCCAGGCGTTGGGATTCCTGGGCCCACCAGCGTTCGGGACATCCTGGAAAAAACACACGAATCCCCAAAGCGGGTGGTGACACCAAATTGCCCGAGGCTCACCGCGGGGTGATGTCACCACCACGTTTGGGGACTACTACAACGGGTGCGCGATACGGTGGAAGCTCGTGCCAAGAAGCACCCTGCTTGCCTCCAGGGTGCCCTGGGTTCCTTGGGTCTCGACGGTGTTGCTAGGGAAAGCGTGCCGTTCCCACACCAAGAATCAGTGGACGTCCCTGGATCTCAGGGTCGGATTCCTTTGGAAGGTTCCTGGTGATCGAGCTCCTATTGTAAATAAAGCAGTACAGGAGGAAATTATGTCTCTTCTGCGGCGCCACGCTGTCGCCCAAGGTTGGGGCGTTGCGTAACGGCTGCGCGATAAATTAGGCAGCAAAGGAGGAATTCCGAGGAGGAAAAGGTACCGATACCGCCACCCGTGCCTCGTTTTCCCCTCTTCGGGCCTCCTAGGAGGCTCTCGTCGTCACCGCTGGATTCGCCCCGAAGTCCCCTGGGAGAGGTCCGGGGAGCAGCGGCATCGGTACCTTTTTGGCTTCTTCAGGAGTTGTCATCTCTTCCTCGGCGGAAGGCCGGTCGGAAGTAAAACGAGGCCGCCTCCGCCGGCGGAAGCGGCCGGCAGCTCGACTGTGCATCCCGAGGGATGACAAGGATATTTGGTCCACGGTTTTTGGAACCCGCCAAATGGGGGGCGAAGAAGCGCGATTTTGCGTGCCCCTTCTGGGCCCAGGGGTTCCCTTTGGGGGGGCCCCTTTGTCCGAGGCGGGAATTGATACATGGCCACCGCCTGGAGGGTCAGTTTTCGGAGCCTCGGCAGGCGGGGGATGTGGACATATTCGGGCCCCCGGGGGCCGAAGTATATCCACATCCACCGCCCGCTGGGGCATCGGGACGCCGGTTCCCAGGCGGCGGATGTGGATACATCCCCGCCTCGCACTTTCGGTACCCAGAGGCGCACGAACGGTGCACCGTTCCCCCCCTCCACCCGTTCCTCGCCCCCCCCTTCCGCGCAGCGCCCGACAGGTCGAGAAGGTCGTCGAGCTGCTCAGGTCGGGGGAGAGCCGGCCGGCACGGCGGCTCTGCGACCACTTCTGCGAGCGCCCCCCCCCCCCCCAGTGAGGGGAGAGGAGGGGGGGCTTGGCATCGCTCGGACGTGTGCATTGTTCCTTCGGCGAGGACCATCGAGGAGCATCCTTGATCCTTTGACGACAAAGCCACGCACGAAACCGAAAAAAGCACAGGGAATGGACGTCCGAGCGATGGCCAGGGGGAGAGGGGGGGGGGGCACCGATGACGCCGCGCATCCCGGGGAGCTCTCGTCGCCACGGCTGCATGCGTCGCCAGGCCCTGGTCCGCACGCACCCTCTCTGGACGGGTCCGGAGCGTGGCGGCCTCGGTGCCCCCTGGCTGCCCCACCTGCGGGCCGGAGCGACGCTGGGGTGTGGGGCGCCCCTGCGGGGTTCCCTTGGCTGCAGTCATCGTGCTCAAAGGCCGAGCTCCAGCCGGTGTTTCGGCAGCCGGACCTGCAAGGGTAGTGCTCGCATCTGACTGCTAAACGGCGGCCCTCCCTGGCGTTTCTGCATCCTTTTTGGGCCTCCTGGAGGCTTCTGAGGCATCCCGGTTTTGTCCTCCAATTCCTCTACCTCCTTTGTCTCGCTTTTCGCATTTGTTTTCGAAGAGTTGCCAATCGCGCGCTCTTCTGCCCACGGGTTCCTCTTGATGCTCGGCTTAGTGGTGGTGGTGGAGGCTTCTTGTGGTCATGGCCGGATTTGCTTTGAGAGATGGGTCAGGATGGACCCTTGGAAGAAGTTCAGGATTGATTTAGAGCGGATCTGTAAAATGCGAGAGATTCGCCGTTGTCTCACTTTTGACAGCTTCCCATCAGGGAGCTGGAGGCCAGCCTGGAGGCGGGGTCCAATTCGGTCCGGTTCGACATCGGTTTCGGATGGCCCGATCCGATTCGATTCCCCCTGTGCCGAAGATCCGATGCGGCCCGATGCTTCATGGCGCCGTTGTGCATCTTTGCACGGCCGATCTGATTCCTCAGTGACGATGCGGCCCGATCCGACGCAGGTTTTGATTTGACTCGACTTCCTGATTCGATGCTTGTTTAATCTGTCTCAGAGGCCGACGAGAAGAACGAGCAGAAGGCGTACGACAAGTACGCATGTTGGTGCGAGACCATCACCGCCAAGAAGGCGACGGCCATCACCGAAGCCAAGGCGACGATGCGCGAGCTCGGCCAGGAGATCCTGACCCTGAAGGGCAAGGTCGCCACTCTGACCGCGGAGATCCAGCAGCTCCTCGCCGACATGGCGGCGAACGAGGCGGCGCAGAAGGAGGCCACGGAGATCCGCAGCAGGGAGAACGCGGCGTTTCAGGCGGAGACCACCGAGCTGAAGCAGACGCTGGCCGCGCTCGAGAAGTGCATCGCCGTCCTCGTCGCCGCCACCATGCCCGCGGGCGGGCCCGAGGCTGCGCTGCTGCAGCAAGCCAGCCGCGCCCAGCTGGCGGGCCGCCACCTGAAAGACGCCATCGCCGCGGCGCCCGTCGGGGCGCTCTCGGCGGTGGCCCCGAGCAGGCTGTCGCTGCTGAGGAGCTACGCGGAGCAGCTGAGCCAGGGCAAGGCGGGCTACACCCCGCAGTCCCTGACCATCCAGGGCATCCTCAAGGAGATGTACGCCACCTTCGCCAGCGACCTGGAGTCCAGCATGGAGGACGAGGCGCAGAAGAACACGCTGTTCGAGGCGCTCATCGCCACCAAGCAGAAGGAAATGGTGGACATGCAGGCGTCCGTCAAGGAGAAGAGCGCGCAGAAGGCGGAGGCCGAGGTGATGCTCGCGGAGGCGACGCAGGCCTACGATGACACCGAGGCACAGCTGAACCACGACGTTGAGTTCTTCGACGCAACGAAGCAGGCGTGCACCACCACCGCTGGCGACTGGTCCGACAGGAGGGCGTTGCGCGAGGAAGAGCTCGCGGGCGTCAAGAAGGCCATCGAGCTCCTCGACAGCGACGACGCGCGCACGCTGTTCGACACCGCCATCCAGGACGGCCACCAGGGCGGCCACGCAGCGAGCTTCGTCCAGATCTCCAGCGATGTCGGCAGCCCCGCGCGGCTAGCGTTCGGCGCCCTCAGGGCGAAGGCGGCGAGTGCGGGCAGTCTGAGGCTGGCCCGTGTGGCGGTCAGGGTCGCGCAGGCCAAGGCGGGCCACTTCGACGAGGTGATCAAGGCAATCGACGAGATGATCCAAGAGATCGACATCACGGAGGAGCAGGAGGACGAGAAGAAGATCGACCAGTGCAACAACGAGTACGCGAAGATCAATGGGACCATGGCCGACCTGAGCTGGAAGATCAGCAAGAACGAGGCCAAGATCGCGAAACTCACTGTTCTGATCGAGGACATGGAGAAGGAACTCGCGGAGACGGTGGAATCCATCGCGGATACCCACAAGATGGTCGAAGACTTGAACGCCACCAGGGCGCAGGAGAACCAGGACTTCCTGCAAGCGAAGACCGACGACGAGGACGCGATCGACCTCCTTTCGCAGGCCAGGGACGCCCTCGCGAAGTACTACAGCAACCAGTCCGTGGACGGCATGGAGGTCGTCACGGCCGGCGGCGAGGGCCGGACCGTGCTCCTGCAGGAGGAGCCCGCTGCCGGGCCCGCGTTCGATGTCTCCGAGGATCGGCTACGCGCAAGAGAGACCCTTCGCCAGGGTGTCCTGTTGGTGCGGGCACCAAGGGCGCCCTCGAGGGCGCGAAGCGATTCGCGCTTCGCGCTTCGGCTCCGACTCCTCCTCTTCCTCCTCTTCTCCCCTGGGAGGCGGCGCGAGAGCGCGAAGTTATTCGCACTTCGCGCTTCGCGCAGCGCGAAGCGCGAAGCTGGGAGCCCTTGGGGCACACTTCGACGAAACAGCAAGAGGCCACAAACATGAAGGTCTGGCGCTCCGCGCGCAGCGCCAGAAGTGTATGTTTACAGTGTCGCCGAGGATCGGCTACACGCAAGAGTCAAGGGGCCCAAGGACACACAAATAAATGCACACAAATAACATGATTCCCCGTATTGTCCCACATGTTCTGGGTTTTTGCCTTCCCTTCCCGCCCAATTCCCAGATTTTCCTATATTTTCTCGGGGATCGACGATTCATTGTGTCTGTGTGTTTCCCCCCCTCCTGAAAGAGTGACCCTTCGCCAGGGTGTTCTGTTGGTGCGGGTACACGTCGACGAAACAACAAGAGGTCAGCAACAGGAAGGTTTGGCGCTCCGCGCGGAGCGCCAGAAGTGTATGTGTACAGTGCGCCCTTGTTTCTTCTTCCAAGAGTGACCTGGTGCGGGCAGACTGGGGTCCTCAGATGGCTGTGTTCGGACGGGGCTTCTACGAGGGTAGCATGCGTTCCAGAGCGTTCCACAATGCTCTCAGAGCGTTCTGGAACGCTCTGAGATGGCCGCGGCGCCCGAGACATTCTCTAGAGCCGCCGTATCTCAAGATATTCTCGAACTATCTTCCCCCGAACGATCTCAGAGATTCTCGATTTGTCCTCACCCGATCTTGTCTTCATCCAGGCTTCGTCTTATGAGCACGATGCGATAGCGGCGGCTTCTGCGCTCGGACTTGGCCCCCCCCGCACCCCCAAAGCGCGGCGTACCGCAGGCCACTCTTGCCCGGGGGTCGCTGTCTTGCGTGCGGACGGGAGGAGCAGGCCCCGGAGGTGAAGTTCTCCGGCAAGGGGATGCGCAAGGTCCAGGCCAAGGCCAGGGGGCCCATTGCATGAAGACGGGCGTGTCCCCCTACAGGAAGAATATTCGAGAATGGTCAGAGAATGGACAGGGGAATGTTTTTCAACTGATATTGGCAATGTCTGAGCAGCTGTTAGTTATCTTCCATGTTCGTGGGCGGAAAAGAGGGGGGTGATGACTAGGGGGGGGGGGATATCATGGCGGGGGTCATGATATTTCCCCGGATTTCATGGCGCCTCTTCTTATTTCTTTACGTCCCTGCCCCCCCCGCTGGGCCGCGCACGTGCCGCCGGTCATGATGTGCACCCCCCCCTCTTGGACCCCCCCCCCCCCTCTTGGCCGCTTCCGGCATCTGTCTTCCAGAAATACGCCTGCAGGGGGGCATGCCCGACATATAACCACGGTGGACGCAGGGGTCTCCGACGCTCTGCTCGTGGCACCGTCGGCGGTCGCTGCATACTCCCGGCGCCGCCTCCGGCACCGCCCCTGGCGCGCCCCTCGCGCCGGGGCGGAGGGGATCCAGCGCCCAGCCAAGAGATCCGCGCGGGCCTCCGGCCCCCGGTTTCTTGTCTTTTTGGTGAGTGGTACCAGCGTTTGTGTTCCCAGATGTGAGTTTTCGGCAACGCGCAGAAGGGGGTAGGGGGAGGGGGGAAGGCTTCTCAGAAGCACCCCTGCTTCTTCGGGCCTTCTCTCTATAGACGTAAGGCCGAGGCCTTCTGAGAAGCAGGGTGCTTCTAAGAAGCCTCCCCCCTCCCCCTGCCCCTTTTTGTGCGCTGCCAGACTTTTTCAACGGGCGAGTTTTCAAGATTTCGGCCCTCGGGGGCCGTTGTCGGACCCCCCAGAGACGATCAAACATGCATCCGGGACGCGGAGCTGCCCCCGGGGGGAGGGGTCGGCAGGGACTCTTAAGGGGTCGCGAATCGAAGAACTCGGATCCGCTGGTGTCGATCAGGGAGACGAGCCTGGCATCGTTCGGACGTGTGCATTTCTCCTTCGGCGAGGACCATCGAGGAGCATCCTTGATCATTTGGCGAAAAAGCCACGCACGAACCCGAGAAGAACACAGGGAATGGACGTCCGAGCGATGGCGAGGTCGGGGTCGCGAATCGAAAAGCTCGGATCCGTTGGTGTCAGGGAGACGAGAGTGGGGCCCCAAAGGTGGAGCGGGGACGCGGAGCTGCCCTCGAGGGAGGGGTCGGGACTCTTGGGGTCGCGCATTGGCAAGTTGTCAGGGGGACGCGAGTGGGGCGAAGGATCGAGGGGGCGAGGTTCGAAGATTATCTCCCAAGGGTCGGAAGGGCCGAAGGACCGACATGTCGACGGATCGAAGGATCGAAAGGGTCTTGATCATTTTAGGCCCCCAGAGGCCCGCTGCGGGCCTCAGAAATCTTAAGCCGGGCCTGTCCTTCTGCAGGGGGGATATTCGAAAATAGTAAAAAATAGCGTGGGGACGATTTTTTTAGCATTGTGTGACCATTCTGGGGCATCTGTGGGGCATTTATTGAAATTTTTCGTCCACAGGCCCGACTTCAGCAGAGGTCGACCCAAAGGGCGACAAGCTCCCCAGGACGGACCCCGGGATGGGGTCCCGGACCTGGCTCGACAGAGGGGCCCCCCGAGCGGACGGTGCGGTGGCCACGCCGTGTGGTGAGTCGGTGGGGAGTCGGGATGGCCGCACGGGTTTGGTGCCTCTCCTCCTCCTCTTCCTCCTCCTCCTCTTCCTCCTCCTCCTCTTCCTCCTCCTCCTCCTCTTTCTCCCCTTCCTCCTCCTCCTCCTCCTTTTCCTCCTCCTCCTCCTCATCCTTTTCTCCTCCTCCTCCTTTTCCTCCTCCTCCTCCTCCTCCTCCTCCTCCTCCTCCTCCTCCTCTTTCTCCTTCCTCCTCCTCCCTCCTCCTCTTCCCTCCTCCTCTTCCTTTTCCTCCTCCTCCTCCTCCTTCTCCCCTTCCTCCTCCTCCTCCTCCTCCTCCTCCTCCTCCTCCTCCTTCTTTTCCTCCTCCTCTTCCTCGTCCTCCTCATCTTTCTCCCCTTCCTCCTCCTTTCCTCCTCCTCTTCCTCCTCCTCCTCCTCCGCCTCCGCCTCCTATTCTATTAGATTCCCATTGGGAGTGTCTGTCAATGCCAGACACCACTAACAACACAAAACACGGCTAGTCAGACTCATCGCCTCTCAGAGGAGTGTCTTGACCAGCGGGCTGAAGCATTCCGAACCTGGAGTAGAGTACTGGGATCGACCATCTCTCTCCCCAGGTGGAATCAAAACTGCAGCCGTCCTGAGCCTGTCTATCCTGTAGGACCTGGACCCCTCGCTTCGTGGAGCGGATCAGAGCCAGAAGGTCCGACGGCACTGGCGCCCTCTGATCAGAGAGGCGCCAGCCTCTGCACGCCTTTCCCCAGGACGGAAAGAGGCCCTTGAACGGACGGCTTCTTTGCTGCTTTAAATCTTCAGTGGGTGGGTGCTGGGGACATGGCTTGCACAACATGTCAGCTCCTCCCCAAGCATACCCACCGCACTTGATACAGCTCATACACCAACCACTCCCGCCCACCCGCGCTCCACCCCCGTCCCACACCTTATACATCCTAAGGTTGTGGCCCTGCATGTGGACACTGGCCTGGCTTTCAGTCAGCGCCTTAGCCTGACCAGAGTCTGGAGTACGCGTTTCCATAAAAAGCGGGGACTTGAACGAGAGAAAAATCCTCCTAGACAGCTCCTTTTCAGCTCTACACCGGGAGGCTCTCTGCAACTTGTACCTTCGTGCCAATGCGGGGTGTGGGGCCCATGGAGTCCTGCTTGTCAGAGGCCCCAGGGAAACCAGAACAGTCCGACCACGAACGCTGGCTCATCAGGACATCTTGGACCCCACCCCATCGAATTATATCCTCTTGAAGTCTTTGCATTGTCTCAAACTGCAGCCTGGCGTGTGAGACATCTGGGTGCTTGCTTGCACCTCTTTTTGCAAAGCGGTCGGCATGCCTGTGACCCTCTCGCTCGAAATGAGAGGACCTGCCTTCAAGGATGTCGCACATAGTGGCGTGGCCCAAAGTCTTGTGGGCCACTATCCCATCTTCAAACACGTGCCACACCCTAGACCACAAATGGGCCCTCGGATTACTCGAGCCGATCGACTCGTGACGGTCCCACACGCATCCAAGGGTCCCTTGACAGCCGGTGAAGGTCTCAAACTTGCCTTCCGCAAGCCCAGCTAGCATGTAATATGCATAATATTCACCATCTCTGACCTGCTGCAGCGGTGTCATCTGTCTTGGCACTGGTCCAAATGCAGCCAAGAGAAGGTCTCCGTTGCTCGAAACCATGCGGATCAACCATCCAGCTCGACGAAACGTCTCTGAAGTGGGGTCGGGGGCCGATCCATCGGTGAAAAGGACACCAGTAAGCTTCCCACCTGCTGGCTTGCTAAACCAAAAAAATCGGCACTCACTGGTTGATAACGCTGGGGGCGTGAGTTCTCGCGGATCTGGCAATAGCCCGCGCGCAAACTTCTCCAAGTCCTGTCAAAGTGTCTCAGCTTTCGCCGCTGCATCGCGAGCAGCAGGACTGAGGTGTTCACGTCGATCAGCGTCAAAGGCAGGACATTCAAACCTCCTGTGGAATACAGTTCCTGGGGCACCTGAGCAAATCTGACACACATTGTCCTGGGCCAGCTGGTGGTCATACAGCCTCTGTTGCGTCCAGGTCCCCATGGCAAAACAGTTTCTGGCGCACGCCTGGTGGTGGTCATGCCAGACAACATTTCGGGTCCCGTTGATCATTTTTCTCGCACCCTCCCAAAAGCCTGGCCTAACCCAAACCGTATTCAGGCTTGGCCTTTGGTTTAAAGCTTTGACATCAGCCCTGTGCACTGCATCCCTGGCAGCGAATTCTCTGACAGCGAGCGGAGCAAGTTGGAGAAGAAGATCGATCTCTTCCCCATCAGCTTTGCGGAATATACGCGCACTGACAGGCTGCCAGCCAATGTCTGCAAGAGAGAGAAGCAACGCATGCGCAGGCGACGTCGCCGTAAGCCAGGGCCTGCGTGTAGAGCCCATAGCATCCACTGCAAGCTCAAAGACTGTCTGCATCACAAGCAATGAAGGTGTACCGTCCCACACTGCTCGTGCCCACTGATGCACGACATTCGAGTGATACAGCACATACGCATCCATGTTCCTACCTTCGTCGAACGATCTTAGTTCGAAGGACGTGAGTGCTCCAACTTTGTGCGTACATATACTCTTGCATGCACGTACACGAAGCGTATGTATATGTGCTGAAGTAAGCCCTGCTACAGCGGTACTCCATAGTGCCCCAGCTTGTGGCCCCGCTCGGTAGACATGAGCTCTTCCAGCTCCCGCAGCTTTGAGCTGCCATAAACGACGTACTCTGCGCGCTGCTCTGGGAAGTCGCTTGAAAGAGGTAACAATCCTACGAATCTTTCTGCAGACAGCATCACATCCCAGGGACCAAGTATGTTCTTTCGAGGTATACTTGAGATGTTTCCAGGCCTTCAGAAGCCCATCCGTTATTTGCTGATTCGAGGCCAGGGAAACCGTTTTCTTCTCAGAAACCACCAACCCCAGGTCATCAAACCCTTTTTCTCAACTGGATGCCAGCTGCTGCGAGATTCTCAGTTACATACTTGATCGAGCCACTCAGCTGCAACGAGACGTCGTCGACGACGTTCCCAGTGTACAGGGTGGGAAATGCCTGGGGCAGCAAGCACAGGACACGGTAGAGCACGATCTTGGCGAATGAAGCCGCCAAGCTGCAGCCGGCCAAAATCGTGCCACTCGTTCGAAATACCGACGAACAGCCACTCGCAAACGTTATTGCCCTAGGCCCCGTGTACAACGCAATCGCTGCAACAGTCAGCCCAAGGTGGCATTATGCTCCTTTTGCTTCGTCAAACAGTATGCCAGGCGCCACCCTCTCATAAATCTTGCCGAGATCTTTGCACAACGTTGCCGATTCAAACCCCTTTGCTCTTGCAAACTCTGGCAGCATTGCATGTCGCCAT